GCAGAGAGGCTGTGGGTAAATTTCCAGCCTCCTGCTTCCATCCTCTCCCCATCTACGCTGGCTTTCAAAAAAATCTGAACAGATCTTTGTGTCTCACAGATAGGATCATGCTTTCCTCAGCAGAACTTGTCCTGAGCTCCCCGTGGGCTATAGGACAAAGCCTAGTGTCTTTTCCCTGAAGCCAAGGCCCTTCATTGAGGTTCCCACTGCGGTGTCCTCGATCCTGCGATCTATGCCCCTGTAGCTCGGACTTGCTTGCCACACTCTCTACTGAAGGCACCCCTCTTCCATTTGTCCTTCTAGCAGATGCTTCCTCTTCCAAAGGACGCAGCTCCAATATGCCTTCTGGGAGGCACCACAGAGATGCTTGGCTCGCGTCTCCCACTGCCCTTCCTTCTCGACTTCACTGCAGGAGTCGCCCTGCAGTGGCACCACTTCTTCTCAAGTCTGACAGTAAGCCCCTGCAGACCAGATGCCACATCTTCCTACAGGTACGTCCCAAGTTTCTAAAGCAGTGCCTAGGACCTTGCTAATGCCCAGTAGATGTTCGCTGGGATGATCTTGATGCCCCCCAAACTCCTTGTTAGTTGCTGCCTCTTTCTCTGTTGCAAACACAGCTTCCATGTCGGGATTGCTGAGGGGCTGCCCCACCTCACCGACGTGCTTTCTCTTCCTTCTCCTTTCTTCACCATGGAGGTGTCCCTTCTCCAGTCTCTCTGTGGGGAGAAAATGCTCTCTCGTGTCATATCTGAAATTTTTCTTCCTTCTATGTGCTCTTGACACCTGGCTTGTTCTGTGAAAATGTCCTCTGAAGTCCCCAGCCCAGCCCAGCTCTGTGGTGGGGCAAAGGGGGAGCCTGGTACCAGGGTCGTGGGAGCTCTGTGCCCTGGTGTGCCCCCTTGCTGGGTTCATCTCAACTAATGAGCTTTTTGTATCCCTGTGCCAACTCTTGGGCTATTTCCTTTTCTAGTCTTGGTTTTGAGTTTCTTCTTCTGACATTTAATTACCAGGAAGAAAAGTGGGAGGGATGTATTTTCTCAGAGAACCCCGTGATTGTAAAATCATGGTGCCTGGTGTCAGGGGTGTGGCATCCACAGGGACACGGCTGGGTGCTTCTGTAGCTCATTCTTGCTTCCCCGTCACACTGGCCTTCTCTGCAGAGGTCAACGCCCTCCTACAGACCCCCTGCCCAGCTCTCCCAGCCTCTTGCTTTTTCTCTCAATCAGGCTAGAGAAAAATATTCCAATCTCCAAATTGGGACCCTCAACAAAGGAGGTTTTATTCTTTGTGAAATTTGTTTGCATAATAAGCCTTAATAAGCCTTACAATTATGTGGCATTTAAGTGAGATCTATAATAATTTTATAGAAAAAGCATAAATGATACTAAATTGGAACTGTTTGAGAGAATATGGACTGTAAGTGTGCTGAGGCAAGTAAAACCACTGCAGAAAAAGGATTTAAAAGCAGGGAGAAATAAAACACTCTATTTTAGCCATATTTTCCAGTAAGAGACATTCCAAAGCCTACTTCAATCAAAACTGCTTTTGTATTAGTCAAGAGTGTTGGCATGTAAAATCTATCGTTTAAAATAGTTTCCAAATACATAAGAAAGTGAGAAATGACAAGGTCCATGAGAGGATTCCTGTGCTGTCACTAAGTATGCGTGCCTGGGAAGTCCAGGCAAGGGCATGTTATAGGTGAATTGTGTCCTTCGGAAGGATACATCGACGTCCTGTCCCCGAGAACTAACCTGGAAAGTACAGTCATTGCAGATGTGATTTGTTAGGACAAGGTCATGCTGGACAGGGTGGACCCCTCATCCAATATGACCAGAGTCCTCACAAGAAGACGGTGTGTGAGGACACAGAGGACACCATGTGACAGCAAAGGCAGAGGCTGAGTTTCGCCATCGCCAGCCGAGATCACCAAGGGCTGCAGCCACACAGAAGCTGAACGACGGGGACTGGTGAGAGCCCGGCCCTGCTGCACCTCGATTTTGGACCTGCAGCGTCCAGCACTGTCAGTGAACACATGTCTGTAGTCTGAGCCAGTTTGTGGCAATATGCTACAGCAGTCCTGAGAAACTAACAGGCAGGAGATGAATGTCCAAGGCTGTGCGTTTCTTCCAAGGGTGAAACCTGGCTGCTGTGTGGCCTCGTTCACCATACCATCCGGGTTAACACTCTGGTAGTTCAGCTTGCCATATGAAGGAAGCATTAGTAAAAACGAATGCGGGATGGCTCCGCGCTGAGATGGGACAAATTGTTTGTACATTGTGGTGAATTCATACATAAAATTATTGGCCTTTTGCCAGCAACACTACCCTGTAATTAGGTGTCTTTCATTTGTGAAAGGGTGTGGCGAATGTTGGTTTAATGTTGGTCAGTTTAATAAAAACCGATTTGCCAAGATTTAATTCTGCAGAAATAAAATTTGCCTGATGATAAATTCATCAAATTTACCGCATTTGTTGACTTACTAAATTTATCATTCATGTTGAGTCACTTTACCGGCAAACAGAGCTCTGGAAAGAGTTAATTCATTTCCAGTTTTGTCGGTGTTATCTGGCAGTATTTAAGTAAGGTTCAATTTCTCGAAGGCTGGCACTTGAGGGTAATATAGTCCTCTATGAATGAATATATGTAGAATCCAATAATGCATATTTTACCGTCAGAAACCCCAGTTTCAGGATTTTATATGAACATTTTTTTCTGTTAGAATATCAATTTTTGCTTGACAAGCTTTTCTGCAGATAGTGGTTATAAGATTCTTTTTCCAACTTCTCAAACACTCTATCAACCTTCGCTGGTGATTTCTGGCCATTAGTAGCCCAAATATTAGCACATGTTAGAGTCATTCCTGTCACTTCCTAGTTTGTTTCTTACTCTATCCATATTTTAACTTTTAAAGCACTATTTTACTATCTTTTATTCTTCACATTTTTGTTGTTATGGTATAGGCATATTACATTACTACAGTCTTTTGTAGTAATACCTTAGGTCATCGCCACCTCGAAAGGTTTTATCTCTTCACATTGAATCTTTCTCCAAACTGCCACCAAGCCTGTGTATCCTTAATGCTTTCTGTTAGAGTTCACAATGTGAGCACTTCTTTAAATCTAGGTGTTTATAAAAACGCTGAATAGGCCCGGTGTGGTGGCTCACACCTGTAACCCCAGCACTTTGGGAGGGTGAGGCAGGAAAGGTTACTTGAGGTCAGGGGTTGGATACCAGCCTGGCCAACATGGGCAAACCTGACTCTACCGAAAAATACAAAAATTAGCCAGGTGTGGTGTGTGTGCCTGTGGTACCAGCTACTCAGGAGGCTCAGGTGGGAGAGTCACTTGAACCTGGGAGGCAGAAGTTGCTGTGAGCCAACATCGCGCCAGAGTGAGACCCTGTCTCAAAAAGAAAAACAAAACGCAAAACACTTAATAAACAAATATAGCAGCTGATAAATTTAACAATGCCTTGTGCTGCTTTCGATGGTTTCAACAGCCTGAGTCTATTTTATAGTTTTAGTTATAATTTAGTAATTTAGTTCTAATTTAGAAGTGACGGTTTTGCAGCAGCCTCTGTGTAGCCTGCTCATTGAATGTCAGTTTCCTGTGTTTCACATTTCAGATTCTGTGACTTCTCTTTTGCATAAAACATAAGGAAAATATTCATCCAATAGAATAGCTTAACAAATCTGTGGATCGGGGGAAATAAAAAGGCAATCGACTAAGTTGCAAATATGTCATTGGAAGAAAAAAATGCAACTTGTCATTTATGACGTCATTGTCACTTCCACATAGCCTGCCCTGACACTTCGTAATCTAACCCCTAATACTTCACTGTCAAATCTGAGGCGCAGATAGTGATTTCATCTGAAATGTTAAAGTACATCTCAAGTCAGAATGAATTCCTTACAGGCCAAGGCATCTGAAGATGGTGTCTCTGGCTTAGTTGCTCTTTTGTTTGTTTAAGATAGGATATTGGGTGACATTTGATTCAGATAATCGGGTCAGAACTCAGCTCTGTGATGTCCTGTGCAGCTCCGGTCTCCTGTGACTTCCCAACGCAGGTGCTGGAGAGGAGGGCGTAGCCTCCATGTAGCCCTCAGTGAACGACAGACCCGAGGCATCCACCAATGCTCATTAAAGTGGTTTCCAAGCGTTCCAGAATATGTGGGAGAAAATATACCCTTGGAAATGTTGAAATGTTTTATAAGCAAGCACATCCAGTTCCTGGGCAGCTCCAACTTGCTTGGCTCTCATTTGCCCGACGGCTCAGCTGCAATGCTGCCAAGGAAAACAGTCATTGAAAGTCGCACAGGTAAGGTGTGGTGTCACAAATCAGTCACCCCCTGCTTCTTGCCACAGGGACAAATTGATGACATTGCAGGAGACACAGATATCCTCATCTCTGAGTGGAAGACTGATGTGGCTCCACTCCCTCCATATGAAGCAGTAACCGAGGACAATGCTCGGAGCCGACCTCTGGGTGGTTCCCAGAATGTGGGGTGACCCAGCTGCATACATGAGCCTGTCACACCACCCCAGGCTCCCTGTCACCAGCACTCATCTGGGCGGCACAACCTTCTCAGAGTGGACTGGGATGTTCTCATCATACTGCATGCATTCATTTTCTTTTGCTGCTGTAGCAAATTACACAGACTTGGTGGCTTCAAATGACACAAATTTATTCAGAAGTCCAAAATCAGTTTCATGAAGCGAAAGTAGAAGTGTTGGCAGGGTTGGCCTCCTCTGAAGGCCCCAGGGGAGAATCGCTTTGCCCTTTCAGCTTCTAGCAGTCACCCGGATTCCTGGACTTGTGACCCCTTCCTCTGCCTTCACACTGTCCCTCCAGTCTCTGTTACCATCATCACAGTCCCTACTCCTGTTCTGCGGTCAGATCTCCCCCACCTCCTCACAAGGACACTTGTGAGGACACTGGGCCCATCTGGGTAATCAGGAGCATCTCCGCCTCTCAAAACCCTCAACTTCATCACATCTGCAAAGTCTCTTTGGCCATATAAGGTGACATGTACAGATTCTGGGGATGAGGACATGGATATCTTTAGGGGCTGTACTCAACCTTGCATGCTGGACCAGGGTGTGCAGTCACCATTGATGAAAGCTCAGTTTATCACTCGCCATTCCGAAAACACGTAAAGCCAGGGGAGGGCTGGGGGAGATCCTCCTTCACTGGGGCTTGCAGGGACCATGCAACCATCTTGGGTGGAAATAGGTCTTTCAAGGCTGTTGCTGCTACTCTTGCAAAACACACACACGCATGCACACATGCATGCACACTCACACATGCACACACACACACATGCACACATGCTCATACACACACTCATGGACACACACACTCACATGCACACTCACACTCACACACACGTGCCACACCCACACTCAAATGCAAATGCACTAACACACACTCACATGCACACTCCACATGCTCACACACTCAAATGCACTCACATTCACATGCACATACACTCACACACACACTCATGCACACACACTTTCACACACATTCATGCACTCACACTCACACACATTCACATGCACACATACAGACATCAATGCACACTCACACTTACCTGCACACAC